TGGTGTTTTAGAACTACTTTGGGTGAGATCTCTACTGAGTGAGATTGGAATAAAAGCTAAGGAGCCCATGATATGTTGTGACAACCAAGTTGCAATCAATATTGCCCATAATCTAATTCAGCATGATAAGACTAAACACATTGAGGTTGATAGGAACTTCATAAGAGAAAGGGTGACAACTGGAGAAGTCTGCTTGCCTTATATCTCCTCTGAACTACAATTGGATGATGTCTTAACCAAAGGGGTTGCAAAGAACAAGCTTGAATACAACATTACAATCTATGCAAGTTGGGAATGTGTGGCATTTACTCCCAACTTGAGGGGGAGTGTTGAGGGTTTTAGACAAATTGTGTAGTCTATAGTGGTAGTTTTTTATTATTTATTGTTTAGATAGGAAGCGGAGACCACAACACTCTTGTTAGGTCCTTTTCGAGCAGTTATTTTAATTGTTTTATGCTATTTTATGTGTTAGCCGCCCTATAAGGGCATATTGGTCTTTGTACTCTTTTATTATTTCAGACTATAAATAATAGTGAAGAGGGTGACCAGCATTATTGTTCTCTTTTCTCTTTCAAATCTCTTCTCTTCCTTTTCTCCTTTCTTCTTTTTCTTCAAGAAATATTCTTTTCTTTTACAGTTTTTTTATTTCAGCACCTTTCTACGAAACAATGGGGTGGCTCGCATGCTAGGGCAACAAAAGGGGTGTTAAGTACAATGTACATATGCCATTGTTTCATCCATATTAATAAAATTTTAACTATTAGCAATTCAAAAAAAAAAAAAAAATCTAAGGCCTGAGTGACAATATCACCCTTGGTAGATGAGAGGGCAAAAAATTTTTTTTTTCCCCTTTTTTTTAAGAAAAAGAAAGGTTGCTTGACCAATGCATGAGCCTCACCCATAGACTAGAACTAATTGAAAAACAAACAGTAAGAAAGGGGAAGAGAAAAAGCATTTTGGGGATGTCCAACCTTAAAGTGTTCATAGCGAGAAACATATAGTTGGAGAAAAACAAAAGAAAAAAAAAATAGAGAATAAGTGGCACGGAACAGTCTAATTAGCAGAAGCTCTTTTGCATGTTAAAGGGTCTAGAAGAGATGGTGGCAGGCCAAAGGGACATGGGTTGAACTAGTGAGTAATGACTCAAGGACCCATAATTTAACAATAGATATGGCACTGAACAGAGTGGAATGGTGGAACAAGATTCATGTAGCCAACCTCATTATGGTTGGGAAAAGACTAAGTTGAGTTCATGCCAAGTCATGAGGAACTCGAGCCACTGGAGGAGTGTAGCCACTCAGAATTTGCATGGAGTTCAGATTCTGTCACTAGCAACCATGATTTAAGTGTGATGAAAGGCATCTCTAAAGTTGATGATTTATGTGAAGGCAAAAGAATTGACTTCAAGGCGGGTAAATGAGAGAATATGATTCCCAGGGCTCTTGTAATCAGCCTCTAAACTGAACTTTCCATGACCTTTTGTTTCCATTACCTGATCTGCCCCTTGGTGTAGGAGTTTCCATGGTTTTTGTAGATCTTTGACTTGACATAATGAGCTCAGGAACTGCTTTTTGTGGTGTAACTTAAATACTTACTGCTTTGAATCCAATCTAACTTGTTTAGGCTTCCACATTGTAGATCCTTACGAGTTGACAAGAGAGTGGAAATGGATAAATATTTCCTAGTCATTCTTGAATTGAGGCATACCTCTATCACTATAATTTTTTATTGGTAATTCTACATACTAAACTTTGCATGGTTTCAAAACCTCTAAAATATGGAATTTTCTGTTTGAACTCCGGACATCTTTTTTTGGAGATCTTGAAGGTTGATTATCATGTTTTCCCAAATTGTACTTGAAGAATGTTTGCATTATGTGGTTAAAGGATTGCGGTTCATTACCACACCTTCTGGTTCAATGCCTGCATATGCACACATATTCCAAGCACATTCACATGCATGTGTGCATGGATGCATCCGTATTCCCATTTTTTATATGATAATAACTCGTTTCATAATTGTATTACTGAATAATTGTTTTATGTTTGCCAATTTTTCCTACCTCGTCTTTGTAGGTGTGGGACCCAAGGAAAAATAAATAAAGGTTTGCTCCATCTGCTGTTGACATCCTTCGAATTGTAGATGAGACTTTAGATGCATTCTTTGAGTTGCCAATACCTACGCATCCAGTGTTGCTTCCTGACTTGATGGCTGGCCTTGATAGATGTCTTCAGCATTACATATCCAAGGCAAAATCTGGCTGTGGTACATGGTTGCAAAACCTAGAGACTCTTTATCTTGTTAATAATGATTGCCCTTTTGTTGTGATGTATAGGGACACGGAGTACTTTTATTCCCACTATGCCAGCATTAACCAGATGTACTACAGGATCCAAGTTCCAAGGTGTGTGGAAAAAGAAAGAGAAACCACAAAGCACTAAGAAGCAGAAAACTCAAGGTGGCACAATGAATGGAGACAACTCCTTTGGAGTACCACAGCTATGTGTCCGTATTAATACTTTGCTGCGCATCAGGACTGAGTTGGGAGTCTTAGAGAAAAGGATAGTCACTTACCTGAGAAATTGTGAATCTGGTCATGCAGATGACATTTCAAATGTGATGGGTAAAAAGTTTGAGCTATCAGTAGCTGCTTGTCAGGGAGGGATCCAACAACTCTGTGAGGCAACAGCTTACAAGATAATCTTCCATGATCTAAGTCATGTTCTGTGGGATGGTTTGTACGTGGGGGAACCAGCAAGTTCAAGGATTGAGCCTCTACTTCAAGAACTTGAGCAGAACTTAGAGATCATAGCAGAAACAATTCATAATAGGGTGCGCACCCATGTGATTACCGAAGTAATGAAAGCTTCATTTGAGGGTTTCTTGTTGATGCTTCTTGCTGGAGGCCCTTCTCGTGCTTTTTCCTTACAAGATTCTCAAATAATTGAGGATGATTTCAAATCTCTTAAAGACTTATTCTGGTCCAATGGGGATGGATTGCCAGATGACTTGATAGCCAAGTTTTCAGAAACAGCAGTAGGTATCCTTCCACTTTTCTGTACTGAGACCGAGAACCTCATTGAGCAATTCAAGCATGTGACCCTGAAAACTTATGATTCTTCCACTAAATCCAGGCTACCACTACCTCCAACTTCAGTCCAGTGGAATCCAACTGAACCAAACACACTGTTACGCGTGTTATGTAATCGGAATGATGAAGCAGCAATAAAATTCCTTAAGAAGACCTTCCATTTACCTAAAAAACTATGATGACTTTGACATATGGTGCAGATGCAGTATGTGTGGTTCTTACACAAATTACTGTTACTCAAGCAAGAGAAACCCATACTTTGCTTTGGCTAGGAGCCAGGAGGGTTTGCTCTAGTCTGGAAGTATATACTACTTTTGTACAGTAAATTTGTAGTGACTTCTATTGTTTGGAGAACTGCTGTTTGTCTGCTCCAGCTTACTGTTTACAGAGATGTCATTTTGGTTCAGTTTATGGCATTGGTAGGCTCGTCAGATGACACGATACAAGACTAGAGCTTAAGTAGTTTTGAGGTGGGAGGCTCTAGAGGTGGATGGATATTCATTGTCATTCTTTGACATCATTTAAAATTAAGCTAGAACTTATTGCTGTCAAGTCTCATTTTCAGGGATTTTTCATGTTGAGTGTTGATAAGAATCCATTACGATTCTTAAAAATGCAAATACAAATGTGTTCAGTGCAAATACAAATAAATGTCTGGTTCATAAAAATGCAAATTGGTTTAATTTTGCAATGATGAATTTACTCTTGCCAAATGATTCTTAGTTGTGGTGAGCACTAACATGAATTCCAAGATTGGAATCTACATTTTTTTATATTGACCACTTTTGAGTGCAAAAGTTTGCATACGAACATGTATTGAAATTCATGTTTATTGTCATTTAAATTACACACATTCTTCTTAAGGTTCGAAATATCGATATGACTGATACACCAGTAGAGGCATATCGGTCTATATTGAGGCTCATTTCTCCTTTTTTTTAATTTTTTAAAATCTGTTCAAAGGGGTCGGTTTAAGACCTGTCTACCCCTTGAACCAGGTTAAACCCCGAAATACCCCTTATAGGGACATATCAGTAAGCCCCTGATACGATGCGTATCGACTAATACGGCCCTTGGTTCTACCCCGAACACCTGCAAAGCTGAATCAGAGTACATATGCTTTAGTGCTGCCAAGGTTAAGTACCAAACTCATTAGTACGGTATGTATTAGTTTTTTTAACCCACCGATATGCCAAATATTATGAGTTTTGACACATGGCCACATTTTAAGGTTAATAATACCTTTAAAGCTGTATGTTGAAACTTGAAAAAAATAAAAAGAGTATCGCCCCTTGAAATCACACGATAAATCTTGGTATATCATACGCATCGATATTTAAAGTTTAAACCTTGTTGCATTTTCGTTTTTCACGTAAGGAGATGCGCTATCCTTGCAGTTGCAGACGGTTAATCCATTAACTGGGGACTGGTTAAGCAGTAGGGTGGTCCATTTAAGCTTATTTCCATGGTTTTCACTATGGAAACATGTTGGGCCCTAGAAGGAAAACTTGGCCCAAAGGTACATCATATGGTCAAAACCAAGCCACTCTTTTAACCAGAGTGATGGCCTCCGCTGCCGCTGGAATCTCTCTTATTGGTAACTTGGGTCTAAATTGCTGGTCTGTTACATGGGCCCGGGCTTGAGGTAGACGCTCATTGCATAAATGGGCAGAGGTCGACACTTTATTGAACCTCGGATGAAGAAGATATTGATTCATGTTCATGGGCTACACAACAGGGGGTAGGGTAACTTGTCCCCCGTACCCATAATCCCCCAACCCTGGTCCCTAGTGACAACGGGATAAGTTTCGCGTTCGCCTTCTTTTGTTTTAATGGGTCCACCCTAATCGGTTCACCATACAGGGCAGATCATGACATGTGATGATACTTCTGAGAAACACAAAACAGCTGATACAAGTAAATATTCATGCAATTTCTTCATTATAGAGAATTCAGTCAATGGGTTAGATCTACTAGTTGCACATTACACCTTCCAGTAAGTAAAAAATTGTTATTAATTTACCTCGTTATTCCTTCTCTGGAGCTGGTTCGTGGATCAGAAACTAATCTTTCTCCCACAACGGTGTAAAGCAATTAAAGCGCAGAAAACAAATGATACAAGACTGGATACAACCTTTGCCCAATCCCTCAATGTTCATGCATGTAGATTGTATGCAGAATAACTTCACAGAGACAATTCCCCTATGCAAGTGTTTCCTAATGCCAAGGATTCTTCTTTCTCCTTCCTGCCCTTTTTGAGCTCGTTGCCGTGCTTCCTTTTGAACTCTGTCAGAGTGGGAAAAAGCCAAGGCATTATGGCATGTGAAATTTATAAGGTCGGACAATAACAGACACTGAATATTAAGACGAACTATTTATAAGAAAATACCGCTTTTGATTTCTTTGTCTTTCCTCGGACCCTATTCTTTGGTGCTTTTAATTTGTATATCCGTACCATCCAATGGTGTGTCGTGAAAGCCTAAATAGATCATAAGACCAGTAAGTTAGGTAATAGGTACTGAAATTGAAATAAGCTAGCATTGACATAGCACTGCAACAATAAGAAATTATGGATATTGGATTATGTACTCCTATATGTTAAGTAAAAAATTTTAGAAGCTCTGACCTCCTCAAAATGGCTAAGTTCGAAATATTTCTTCCCTATTTCAGTTCCCCTTACTCTGTCAAAGCCCTTGCCATCTGTTTCCACAAATCTAGAGGGGGAAAAACAAGAATATAGTATAGCCATCCATATACATTGTAAGGAGAAAGTTGTGTCAGGATACGAGCCAGACCTGTAATATGAGAGCTTGTACATGAGACAATTTAGCATAGTTGAAGTGGCCTGAGAATCAATCCGGTACTGACCATCTCTCTTTTACAGAAAAGAAAATTCAAGAAAATAGTTACTTTTCAATAGCATCCCCTACATATAACCCAAAGAAAGAATTACAGAAGAGATGATCTGTGCTTGGCCAAATGAAATTGGTTTTGGAATTGAATGACATCAAAACAAAATAAGAAATGTTGGTTGAAGCAAACCTGGGCAATTTCAGACCATTAGTGATCATATTTGGATTACAAGTTACAACGTACCAAAAGCTTTCTTACAATTCTTTCAGGCTATTAGAAAGCTCTTAATGTAAATCAAAGCACCAAATGGGTAAAAAATTAATTAAACAAATCAGAAGCACAAATCCAAAAAACAGAAAAGTGGTCATTAACTTGATTTGTGATGAGAACCCTATTCTAATCAATGCATGAAATATATAATATTGATATAAACAACTCATTGTGTAAAATAAGTGTCCTCGAGTTTTAAGGCTTTTCCTCGATATCCTTGAGTTCTAAGTAGACAGGTAACCTGAGTCTGGTGGATATACAAGGACCATGTGATCAGGGCATAATAAACAACGGGATCCCATGATCTGGATCTCCCCAGTAGTAGAGAATTGTTCTCAGTCATCCTTTATCAGATGGCTGAGATGGTTGAATAGTTGTCTGACAGACAAATGATTTAAAGCATTCCTATACCGTTAGGCTTGGGCCTCAAGATTGAACCTTGGGGCGTTTCACTTGGAAGCAAACATAGCATGGAATCCATATAAATCAGCTCAAGGACCACAAATCCAGAATGCCAGAACCACTGATCTGGACCTGTATATATTTATGACCCAAGCTGAAGCTCTATTGGCCAGATCTGAAATGGTTCTACTAACAATCCTAACTGATCATTTAGGACATGACCCTGATTATACAACAGTATATGAGTTTACTGTGTATAGCAATGTCTCACAAAGGGAATCCAAAATGCCTAGCCACTTTAACTACACAGATAAACAGGTAAACATGTATGATTTATGTATATTTAATATTTTTTAAAAAACACATTGATATGCAGGGCTTACAAATGTTTCTTCATGCTTTGTAAACATACATGCAGGCAGACACGATAAATGGAGATTAACTGTGTACATCATTAAACCACCATCTTAGAGGGATGCAATACAGAATTGTCACGAGAGTTTGACAAGTTTTAGTGTTGGCTGCCAACCTATCGCAACCCTCCTTAATCAAGGCTTGGGACCAGCAGTGTAAGACAAGCTTACAATGGCAGAGTTGGATGCATTACAGAATTCCCTTTTGAAAATCAACTACGGATTCTAAAACAATCAACAAACAAGAGTAACTACACTAAGTTAATTTAAAGAAGTTCCACCATCAAAAGATCTAAGTAGAGCAATGCATCAATAATTCTACTATCATTCAAACCCGACTTACAAGATAATCAGGTTCCCTGATATGAGGGAAAACACCCCCTCCAATACGAACCATCCACAGGAACTTATTAATATCATCACTAGGGTATCCAACAAAACCTGATCACGAGGAGAAACTGTTCAGAATAATCAGTTTTCTGAAAGTAAGCCAATACAATAGAACATCAAGGAAGCCAACCTCCAAAGACTACGAGAACATATTTCACATCCAAGGAGTGAAAAATCTCCCATGCTGCCTTTTCTGGAGAAGACATGGCAGTTCCAACAGTTGCAATATGCGTGTTATTCCAAGTATTGTTGTCAACAATGACAGTGCGGTTAGCCATTGCGGTTGTCTGATAGCCATAGTCCCACCAAGATGCAACCTGCAAGAGGCTTTTGTCAAGGATCCGTTCAATTTCTTTCTTCTTTTAGTTAAGCCTGAAATTCTAAAGCCCAAATTGTCAGATGATGCAACTGGCACAAAGATTTTCTATGGTCAATTCGGGTTCTATGGAGACAGATAAGAACTCAAACAATTTATTAGCGATTTTATGCAAAACCTTTTGATCATATGAAATGCCCCAAAAAATGATTCAAGATGTTACTGTGTCAAACTTCTGAACCGCTTTGGTGAATCATATTTGAGATTGTTTGCAAGTCTTTGAGTCCATTGCCTGAGGGGTGAAGGATAGGAATGCTAGCCAAGTGCATTGGATTTGAGGATAAGACCATGTTGGTTGCTTTTATTTATTTATTTTTTTGAAGAAAAGGTAAGGTATTATATTAATCCCAATAAAACATATACAGAGCCCTGCACAATAAGATACTGGGCAGGGAACAAAAAACTTGGAAAGCTTATGTACTGCTACCCAAGAGTATTCTACCCCCAAACTTTTCATTACTGTATCTTTGAAATTATATTTGTTCTCAAATAGCCTCCTATTTCTCTCTGTCCAAATTGACCAAATCACTGCTGCTGGTACCAAATTGGTTGCTTTTATGCTAAGGCAGGTAAATAAGACCTTTTGCTCAAAGTCAAAGGTATGTGGTTTACCACTGGTTCTTCTGACTACCCTACCTCAACAAGATGCCTAGGAACAAAGATGATCATAAAAAGAAATCATGGTGTTAGAGACCTGATCAAGATTAGAAATGACATTCTCCTTATAAAACTCTGGTCAATATTAGAAAGAAGTGTATATATATGCTTTCTGTCATTTTTCCTTTCTCTAAAATCTAGACCTACAACCATAATAGTAAGGATTTGAGTAATCTCATTCAATCAGCCTAAAAGGCCTTAGGTCATGTGGTTTTTATGAAATTCAGTAGGTCAAAGAATTTTCACATGGAGTTTGAGAAGCATAGAATTGATTTTATCCAATTGCTCCTAATTGATATATGTGGAGAAGGTAAGTTTCACTCTCAAATGGTTCAATGATTCAATCTATGGTATTAGGATAGAACTGTTCCAAAACCAAGACCAAGATGGGCGGTAAATTAGAAAAGAGATAAAATTATATGATTCATGCATGCAATAAAGCAGGCAAAAAGAAAAGGGGCACTCACCTTATCATCTACATCAGTGTTGTGGCGTAGCCATGCATAAGCTTCTCGAAAATCATCAAAAACATGCAGACCATCATGTGAACGAGATGTAAGAACAATCGAAGGGGCTGAATAAGCTTCTGCTGCTGCCCAGACACAGTGAACCTAAAGGTAAAGTCACAACTTATATTCAAAGTCCAATAAGAGGGATGGAAAGGAGTGCAATGGAAAGAGATGCAAACCAAGGGAAACTTGTATAAAAGTTCTCAGCTTTTAGAAGCATCACATACTCCACCATGTTAGAGAAGATGAGCACCTCATGGATGCTAAGTAATACATACATTCAAGCGAAACTTGAATACATTAAAAAATCGCCAGCTTAGTCACATCCTAAGTATAATTAAATGTACAAATAAAAAACATGGGCATTGAACAAACACATGGCACCTTTTACAATCGATATTATGTGAACAACTTTCAGACAAATTGGAAACAAAATGTACACAAAATAATTTATGAAACTCAAAATATTATATTCAAGGGATGATGCTATTAAGAAATGCAAGAGTGTAGAGATATCACATACCACATAAAAGGCACCCAATATCACAAGCAAAAAAATAGCAATAACAGAAGTCTCCAAAGGTAAAACCAGAAGCTTCTTCTCAATTTGTGACTTAATAGTTGCTTTTTCCACAGGTTCTTTTTCTTTCTTCCTGTTCTTTTTTGAGGGCCTTTCCTTAAAACTGTCTTCGTTTTTATCAGTGCCTGACTGTTTTTCCAGCTTTGCTGCACCATTTTTTATTGTGTCTTTTCCAGAAGTAGCATCTCCTGCCTTAAACACCAATAGAACAAATGGGTGTTAGATTGAAAATTCAATTTCAAACTAAATTGTTAGAAGAATGTGTATAGGAAAAGGGGGGAAGACTAAATGAAGCCTTACACCAGAATGGGAATTCTCTGGAATTCTGGGCGGTTGAAATTTGATTGATCGTGCGAAAACATCAAAGGCTTCAGAAAGAGAAATTCCAGATATAATAGATGCTGCTGGAGCTAGGACAAGCATAAGCCGAACCTGGAAAATCAGAAAGAGAGACTAAATGGTAAGAGTTGGGAAAGTAGCAGAAACATCAATTATGTTGGGTGCCTTATAGATTTGAGTACCATGACTCCTGAAAAATACACTGATGTTACAATATAAAGGACCACGAAGGAACTGGCATCAGAGAGGGGCAAAAAGCAGGCCTGCCAACATTGGAACATGAATAAGACAGCAATTCAGACACAAACAAAGAAGATAAATGTCACCAAAAGCAACTTTGAGCAGAGGCAACAAATGCAATGAGCAGGCAGTGATACTTACAACAATGCCAGCTGGAACCAAGAATGCCAGAACATTAATATCCATAAAGTAAGATGGCCAGGTTGGTGGTTGATGTTCACTAACACTTGCAATGATGGGTATGTACTTGCTTGCATAAGTTCTGTCTCAATTTAAAGAGTATCAGGAAACTAACCCAGGATGAAGAGGCAGTATAAGGTTAGTGGAAGCGAAAAATTATGATTACTGCTTATAACAGTTTAATGGAGGCAGTAAAGAATAACCAGGACTCGAGATACTCTAACCACATATCAAGGTAAAAATAATTTCCAAATACCTGCATGAGCACAGTGTCCTTACTCTCCATCTAGGAGGCTATTATATTAGAAAGTATGTTTCATAAGAAATGACATGCCTACAACTAGATAGACTCAAAACAGACTTAATCCCAATTATTTGAGGTTGGTAAATGACATGCCCACAATGGGCAATTTCACTTGTGCTTCTTTCTTTAAGACTTTTGACTCACTTCCTGAAAACAGACATTTTCCCTTTAAATAGGTTTAGTATAGTCCTACCCCTCCTAAAGTGAAGATGTTTTGTTGGGATACTGTCAACCAAATTATAAACACCTGCAAAAGATTTCGAAGAAGATGAAAGTTCTGGGATTTCTCATGTGTATGTTCTTTGTTGGAAGAGTGGGGAAAGTACCAATCACCTTATGTTACATTGTTCCTAGTTTCCTACACCTCTAGGTTGTGGCAGTTTGCTCTTGGACTGTTTGGAAAAACTTGGAGGGCACCAGCTGAAATAGCTGATCTGTTTAAATCAGATTGGTGGGAAAGGGGCAGTAAGGCAAAAAATCCTATGGCAGTGTATGCGGGGGTCAGTCTTATGGGGGCTGTGGGGTGAAAGGAATGCAAGGATCTTTGAAGAAAAATCTAGAAATGTGGACAGTTCTGATCTGATAAAGATTAGGGCTGCTCATTGGGCTGCAGTGTATGAAGACTTTAAAGGTGTCTCCCCTCCTTCAGAAGGTGTAGTCAAGCTGAACTTTGATGGTTGCTGTCTTGGGAACCCAGGAACTTCTGGAAGGTGTGGCCAGGGATAATGGGGGTAACATAATCCTAAGTTTCTCTGGGCGAGTGGGTTTTGGAAATTCTTAAAGAGCAGAGCTGTTGGCTTTGATTGAAGGACTGAAATTGCTAGTGCAACAAGAAGTGAGATTTGTGCAAGTGGAAGGTGACTGTCAAACAGTTATAAGTTGGTTGAGAACAACTGTTCAGGTTCCTTGGAAAGTCAGGAGTTTAGGGAGGCAAGCTCAATCTTTAGGTGCCACTTTAAATGCCTCTTTCAGGTGGACACCAAGAAGCCCCAATAGGTTGGTTGACTCTTTGGAAAGAACAGGTGTAGGTAGGGAAACGCTAATTTAGGGATGCCCTGAGCCAGGTGGGAGTTGTAACTTGTAATTTTGTTTCTGATTTCATCTCTTATTTTGGTTTTCTTTCTTATTTGGCTGTCTGTGGTTTCCTGTTGTAATTTGGCCTCCTGCTCTTTAGCCGTTTGGTGTTTTTAATGAAATGGTTTTCAGTTACTGAGAAAAATGGCATGCCTAATTGTTTTTCAAAAATTTAGATGCAAAAACAATCTGAGAGAGAGAGATGAATAGCATGACTAGATGATTACGGATCAAGAAGACTCAAACTGCGTCCACTCCACCCCTTTGTAGGGCTAGAAGCCACCAGTGCCACGAGTACTGCTATCACAGAAGAACAAATTATCCTGAAAAGAAGCACATCCACAGCATTAACATTTAACATGAAATACACACATAACTTGTATATTAACAATCCCGATAAAGCAACTTAAAGGAAAATTGGTTGTAAATGAGTTGATTCTTTGATAGATCTCATGGGAAAATTCCTAGAACCAAATACTACTTTTCAACAAATCACAACAAAACCAAATAAAATGCCAATACATCATGCATTTTAGGCTTGTCTTTTCTTTTATTACTTTCAATTGTCCCTGCCCCCATCCCTTCTTTCAGTAATCATTGAATAAAATAAAGCAACCAAACTTTAAAAGAGAAAAAAGTAGTTTTTCTGAGTCCTTTTTATATTATACATGATAACCACCTCTTGGATAAACAATCCCTCTCTCCTTCAAAATTTAACAAGGTACAAGAGAAAATAAAACGCAAGAAACCTTACATGCCAATGGACACAACAAGCGTAACAGCCACTTTAAACATTTTTGGTGAGAGAAGCCCTTTGATGTAATACACAAGAGCCACCACATGTATGATAATGAAAACCTGTAAACATCAGAGCATTGGCAGAAAGAAAACATTTTATACAAGGACAATGGAGAACATAGTAGAAATCAAACAAGATTCAACTTTTAGTCCAGGTCAAAGTAATTCCATATTGTGGTCAATCTTACATGGAAGTAATAATTCCATAAGACCATAAAGATATGAGATATATAAATGTAAAAAAAATGTTAATCAAGAGTGCAATTCAGCTAGTGTACTTGCAATTGGAAGGTGTCCGCTGGAGGTCATGTCAAACCATGGTATGAAAATTCAGCCAAGTCACTCATCCAAGTCAATTCCATTTTTCTGGGTAGTTAACATGTGAATAGAAACCCAAATTAAAGTACTTCAATTTTCTTATATTGATCATATAAAGGTATTGCATCCCATTTTAGACGTTTTCAGATATTTGTTGTGACATATGGAGATGTCATTCCAGTCAAATAGAAGCTGCTTCCAAGTTCCAAAAGAACTTTTATAATCAATTAACTGGTGCCTGTCGACTCCTCATCTATAATAGGTTTATAATTATGATATAAAGTCAGAATATGGTCCAACTTTTTTTGAAGAAAAGGTAACATACTGATTTTGTATTCATTCAAAGAAGATCATGTACAAGTATAACCATGTACGGAAAATCTTTACAATTGAGTATTCAGTTAGCTCCTGTCCTGCCAGCCTTAAAAACAAAATGTCAGGATCCAAATAACTTTGATGGGCTATTCCTTTGAATTGTGATGTTGCAGCCAACCAAGAATGGATAGTGCCCAGAATTTTCCTGATTAGATCCTCCACTAAGCAGTGGGCTGCTCCTATTCTGAAATATTCTCTGATTCCTCTCCTTCCAAATACACCAAGACACTGCAGCTGGAATATTACTACACAGTTTTCTACCCTTCTCATTTAAACCTTTCACTTTCCATGAGAATAAATGTTCTGATAAACTCTCTGGCATGTACCAAGAGATACTCAGCAAACAAATAAAAAAAAAAAGAAAAAGAAACAAGAATAAATCTTGGACATCTCTGTTCAGTGCAAGAATAAATGCTCTGAAGTTTCTCTGCTACTTCAGCAGAACACACAAGCATCAGATTGAACTGCCATGCCTCTTCTTGACAAATTGTCTCTGATTAAGCACCTTTCCAGCACTGCTACCCACAATAAGAAAGCCACCTTAGAAGGGATGTGAGGCAGTCAGACCTTTTTATGAGGGAAAGCAAAGTTGTTGCTATGAGTCAGCCGCCTGTACAGGGACTTGACCGAGAATATTCCAGAATTCTCCCACTTCCAGCTCCTTGAATCCTCTAGATCAGTTCTCCGGAGAGACATGTTGAGCAGATTGAACAGAGAAACCATCTCCTCTATTTCCCAGTCATTCAAACTTATCCTGAAAGTTGGACTCCAGGTGGGTAGCCCTTCAAAGATATCATAAGAATCAATGGCTCTTGCTACTCTGTTCTCCGCCAGTATATACAATGAAGGAAACCTATCCATCAAGGCACAATTTTCAGTTTTTCACACTGGACATCTTTCCAGAATTTTTGGAACCAGCCTATCTGTATGTGCAGGGGTAAGGCTGTGTACATCTATCCCTCTCCAGACCCTGCATTGGTGGGAGCCTCATGCACTGGGTTGCTTACATCTTTCTAGAATTTGACCCATCTCCCTTCCCCACTTTCAGCTTAATTCCCTGAAGAAAATTGTTATAAAATTTTTCAAAACCTCTCCAGATTGAACCAACATAAGGATCCTCCACAATGCCTGGGTCCCAGTTGAAGTTCCTGACTCCAAAATTTTCTGCAATTATCTGTCTTCAAAGAAGCTGAGGATGAGAACTGAATCTCAAAAACCACTTGGCAATTAGAGCTGCATTCATTTCTTTCATCTTCTTGATCCCATATCATAAGAATATGGTCCAACTTTCATATAAGAACAACAATAACAATTTATTAAGATATGAGATATTGAAGCTGGAAACAGTACTACAATGGTAATGTGTGCTAGTGGTGTAAATCCAATGGGGCTTCTGCCACTTGGTATGTGAAGTCATTTCATTTGTACATGCTATAGTGGAAAAATGGTTTCCCCTGGAACCTTAAATAAAAGTGACAGGAATAGCATCCTGGTCTACACAACTGTTAAGCCATCAAATGGTTGAACCTACTCAGGTTATGCCCTATACATGCCTATATGGCAGTTTATCTGTAACAGTGTAACCTTTAAAATCACCCCAAGTGCCAAATGCAAATGCAGAAAAAGGGAAATAACAAATGTGGAGGGGGAGAGCCAGGTTTAGATGAGACTTGGTTTGTGTGTTTCATTGCCTTCCTTGGGGCCTACAACCCCAGGCACCCTGTAAGAGAGACCGAATGAAGTTGAACAGCTGCCTAGCTTCTAGATTCTCTAACTGGTTTGAAAGAATCAGGAACCTCCCAGTATCTTACCAGCCAATGACACTTTTATAAATTTTTTGCTTTCTTATTTGGGTCAATTTTTCAATTTCATATTCAGTCTTATGCAGTCATAGAAATGAGATTTCAAAGAACTTTAAAGGTCCTAACTGTGGTTAGTTTCTTGGCAGTTGTCTTAATGTGGGATTTTTGTCTCTCAAGTGAAAAAGAGTTTTCCTTACTTTTGAGGATAATTAAGTGGTAACTTCGAAATGCCAATCCCAGACCTCTGTCTATTAATAATGGGCAATCTAACAGAATTTCAAGTTACAAACTTACAATACCCAGATATTGTAAGTGCTTAACATACTTGTGTTGCAAAAAATGTATATGTAGTGAAACTGGTTACTGCATGGATACTCTATACATCTGATATGACCTAGAAATTTGACATGCAGTTCACAGACTTACAGCAGCGTTCACACACTTGAATATCAACAAAAGAAACTAGTATTCATTCAGCAGAAAACAGTAGCAGTTGGTCGGTACTTCGAGAGACCGCCGGCTCTCCCAAACACTCTCAATATTCTTCACTCCAAGAAAAACATCCCACCCCCATCCCCCAAAGCCCCTTCTTATACTCTACTGATAGCATAACTGACTCCCTCTATAAATGCCCAGCTGGSCWAGTTATWAATGCCCAAAAACTCTTCTTATTCATAACTGACATAGCTATAAATGCCCCAAGACTCTCCTTATTCCCTCCAGCTATAATTGCCCTCATGTGATTAATTGTTCAATTATTTCCCCCCCTTAGCTGATTGTTGACCTTTCCTCTTCCTGGCATTAATTGGGGCCTATCAACATCACATCATGAATACTTCTAAAAATATAAATGGTCTATAGATGCCTTAAAAAGTTAAAATATACAAGCACGGTATCAGCATATTAAGTAGATTATGGTTGTTCCCTTCATTCTGTATCTATGGATCTAAGGTTTTTCTGGTTGATTGGCAACATTATAAGGAAAATGTTATTGAAAAATGAAGAAAAGAGATACATCCCTACTCAAAACTAGCAGAAGAGAGGAAACACAGTGACTGCTTTTATTATAAAGAAAAAACACACCACAAAAAACATAGTGCATTAACCCAGATTATATGGTCCCAAAAATGAATAAGCATTCCCCATCTCTCCTCTTGCTAAACTATCAGCCAATGCACTAGCCAATTTTGGGATCCATTTGGGTTATTAGATAAGCTATTTATCCAAGGCAGTGGTCTTTCCTCTCCTATAAAGAGTCCAATATCCCAACCAAGAACCACCTGAGAATAACAATAAGGTAATAATGTTGTGTGTGTATTCTAAATTTATGCTCCTTTTCTGCTATTTTTTCTTAGATCCCCCACTTTGTGGCATATCTGATACCAAGAGAATTAAGAATGACAGAATTTTGAGAACTTCCCAACAATTCTTAGAGAAACTACCTTGGTTAGAAAGTACAGGAACATGAACCGATTCAAATATCAAAATTATTTATAAATGAATAACTCACCAAAAAAGATGCAAAATGTTCTGATGTCATCACTGCATTAAAACCAACAACAGGAACCAGGGAGGCTAACAATGTACCCAGGACAACCTGCAGCCAGAAAGATAAATCTTATGAAAGATAAAGCAAATTTTGTTGCCAAAAGGGTTAAAAAAGCAATTGAAATTATCCTAATGGCAAAATACAGGAAATTTTAACAATGCATGTAAACATGTCATGTGCAGTTTTTAAGCGTTTTGGCAAAAAGTAAATATACAAATTTGCTGCTACGCAACATTGTAGAATGCCATAAATACTTACAAGAGGAGCATAGGCAATATACAGCCTAGAAGAATAACGACCTGTTACAATGCACAGAAGAACGTGCATTGGAATAAGGTTAATAATAAAGGTATAACCACCCCAAGAGCAGACCTGAAGAATTTACAAACAAATATGAATATTGTAAGAGGAGAAAAGAAGAACAATGGCAATCTCAGCATACACCATCTTACCATGTAAAAGTATGCTAAAGAATTTAAAGTTGCGTAGAAGAGGGATCCTGTGTTTAGTGTCTGCATAAAATTACTATAATTGTCAAATAATAGTTGAGGACAAAATAACAACATTACATCTCTTATTTATCCAGTACAAAACGCATGAAGAATCAATTGAAAAAAGATATAGAAAGCTATCCAGACTTTCTGTTAGAAGCTAGAATGTTTCTATGTTATAATACTTTTTTTTTTGGGTAAATATGTTATAATACAAAAACATAAGAATAAATTCATAACATTTACAATCAACATCCTACCTTAACATAAAGATAGAAGGTGAAGATTAAAGCAAATATGGCCACAGCCTCATTGTCATAACTGCCAGCTACAGATCGAGATATATATGATGGTACCTACAAAGCAAACAAATTATGAAGATTGAAATTTATGTTGAAGTCTTGAAGACATGTAATTTGCAGTATAAAAATTGATAATGAATTACAAATTAACACATTCAAAGAATGCAACCTGATAGAAGGTGCCAACTGGCTTAGTTGGTAAGGTCTCTCTGGCTGTTGGAGCAGAGACTTGGGATTGAATCCTTCTTTCACCAGGGTTGGGGGCACTATGGGTTTGGGGGATTGGCTACCCCCCATTGTGTAGCCATAGGAAGCCAAAAATAAGAAAAAGAAAAAGAAAAAGAAAGAACAAAAATGATGAACCCATAATGCATTAGGAAACAGAATATTATAAACATATACACTATAAATGACTTGATATAGCTAGGCGATCCCTTATTCTCTGCCAGTTTGAAATGTTGTTGCACACCATATTTTTGTGGCACAGTTTGGATTTGCATACAGATTGAGGCAGGAATATTGCCCTAATTGGATAGTTGAGGTCTTGATCTTATGATCCATAAGCAGAGTACTTGGACTTCTCTCAGGATTTAGGGTGAAGAAAGGGGTCCCTGCTATTTCCCGCTTAAGTGTTCATATGTTTCTGGGCTTCCAATGGGGAATAAGAAGTACCAAAAGGCAACCTGTGATTCAGTGAATGAGATCACGGTTAATAAACTTTCAGGTTAAGAGTGCTTTGGCCAGCATCCCTTGTTGCTAGTATGGTCTGATTGGTCTCTATACCAATGGTTGACCTTCTAGGCAGAAGTGGAGTGAAGGTGGCACCCTGACTCTTCTACTAAATTCTGAAAACACCCCATATAGAAATTGGTTGGGAGTGGTAAGAGATACCAACTATCCTGATACAGTGGCCCCTCATGATTATTCTTTTTTCTTTTTTTTGTAAGTAATGGTATAAATTTAGTATTAAAGGGAAGGACAGGGTCACTCAACAGAACATTTATAAGTATGTAAAGTTTGTACAAAAAGAAAGATGGAAGATAACAAGACTAATCCGTATTCAAAACCTAAAAACTATCATAACAAATTCCGCACCCAACAGGAATAAAAGTGTTGATATTTAAAGTGGTGAAATCTCTTAATAGTAGGAGGCCCTCCCAATAATAATCCTCTCAATCCTTCCTATAGCAGCCTGCAATAAAAGGGAATAGGAGAGAGAGGTTCCTACCCCACCTCAGGAGTTAGGATACAACGGGGCACTGAGAATTGTTATTGTTGTTGTTATTGTTGTTACTTATGATTATAAATAAGGAATGATTCTGGATCTGCCCCTGCTTCTAGGGATATGCTTTTTTTCCCCTTCTTATGGGGTCAGCTTATAGAAAGGTATTATGATGGAGAAGTAAAACGATTTTGTGGTGAATACCAGCTTCAAAGGGCAGAGGAGATAGAGTACAATTCTGGAAGAATAAAATGGCAGGKGCCTTATATGATCTTCCTCCAAGACCTTTTTCGTGTCTTTACCTAGGTTGGTAAGACTTGAGAGTAATGGTTTTTTTCCAGTTTCAGAATGGAGTGGTTGTTTATAGTTTGTTGTCAGGAGACCTATGCTGAACAAAGAGATTGAGTACCTATACTTTTCAATAGGCTGGAGGATGTCTTTTTCTGGGACCAAATAGAAGAGGTTATTTGGAGGTTAGCACATTTTTTTATCAGTATTTGGAGATTAGCACATAGACAAAAGTTTTCCACTAAATCCTGTGATTTGCAATTGTATTTTTAACATTAACAACCAGAATTTTGTTAAAGATCAAAATAAAATACCCCAACATTTCATGATGTTGAAATGAAGAGAGAAGTAGAAGAATGAACAGAGCTGCAGGCTTACATTCTAATGACACAATGAAGCAGGAAAAAAAAAATATAACAAAAGCTGATAGCTATCTACAGCCCTTTACATTTTCTGCCCAGGTCGTGGCAAACCCTAATCTAGTTCTCCCCTGTTCACTCTACTCCTTGAAAGTGCTTTTGTCTCTGTTGAGAATGGTTAGACAGGTGATTTTGGTCTTTTTCTCCTTTCTTATACTCTCTCAGTATTTGGGCACCCAGATAGGGTCTTTCTTGTAATTATATTTTCTCAAATTATAAAGTAATCTTTTGAGGGTGTGAACAGTGAATAACATAGACCTCTCGACACTTGCTCTTTCTTCTTCTTCTTCTTCTTCTTCTTCCTCTCTCTTGAAACCCTAGTTTTTGCAACTTGGTATCAGAGCGGGTAGAAGCATCTGGGAGTTGTTCTCTGCTGATCTCCTACCCAGAGGCGAACTGCTGATGCCAGACTGTCGTTGGATGATGTCAGCAGCCAGTACAGGTGCCGGCGGAAGTCTATGAAACCAGCGCAGTTTGATTCACCCTGATTTTAGAAAAATTTTGGTATGACTCTTGTCATCATATGAAGCTTCTATGATTTTTGGTGGATTTTTCAAGGAAAAAATTGCAGAAATTCCAGATCTGATGTCGAACCATGTACAACAGGTTTAATGATATTTTTCTGCTATAAAACCTAGACCATTCAAGTCGTTTTTCAATTTGGGATTGACAGGAAGTGGTCCCATAATTTTCTGAGCACTGTGTGATTTTTGGGAGGGTTTTTTCTCCTCTATTTTGTCGCCAACCTGGTTTTTTGGGTCTTCCTTTGGTTCTTAACCATGTGGTAACCTAGTTTTTGGGTTTGGAACATCAGTTAAAGTGTTGGGGGCCCTTTTGGGTTGGTGAAAAGGTGTCTTGTTAGAATATGGAATCATCTAAGGATTTTTAGATTGTTCCCGGCGTGCTCCCGATAGAGTGGTCTCAGTCTGCTAAACTTACCATTACTGGGGGGGGGCTAAACTGGGATTCATCACAGGAAGGGAAGTGAAGCCGAGTACTGAAAACTCGAAATTTGCAAGGTGGGAACATGACAACTCCCTTGTTATTTCATGGCTAATTTGCTCAATGCAACCTCATATTGCCCGAAATTACATGTTTCTTCCATCTGCCAAGGATATATGGGATAGGGTAGTTGCTACTTATTCCCAAGTTAACAATACTGCTAGAGTGTATCAGCTTCGAAGGGAAGCTTGCAGTATGCGTCAAGGGGAGAGATCTGTTGCTATTTATTTCTCTTCTCTACAGTCTATTTGGGAAGAAATGGATCACTTGAAAGCTCTAGTTTGGAAGCACCCTGAACATGGTGAACAGTATCGGAAGTACATAGAGGAGAATAGAGTCTTTGATTTTTTGGCAGGCTTAAACCCAGAGTTTGATTTCACCAAGCAACACATTCTTAGTGCAGGCATTGTCTCTCTTGCTACTGGTTACTCTCTTGTACAAGGGGAGGAAAGCCGAAGAACCGCCATGATGCAATCCTTTGTGAGTGATCATTCTGCCTTTATGTCATCTTGACCCAAGCAAAATACTAGCAAACATCCCATTGCAGAGAAAGTTGAGGATGTTATTTGTGAGTACTGCAAGAAGCCAAGACACACTAAAGAAAGGTGCTGGAAGCTCAATCCTCATCTAAAACTAGAAAAGTACAAAACTGGGAAGAAGGGCAATACTCACTTGGCTACAGTTGGTAATGATGCTCAGCCCTCGGATGTGCTTGACTCCTCTGATGTGATGGACAAACTCAGGAATATATTGTTGCAGCTAGAGAAGGGTGGTACATCCTCCTCACTTGGTTTTGGACTTAGAAATCTATCTAGTTCATAATCCAAGATAGGTACTACACTTTCTTGTTCCACCTCCTTTAACCCATGGATTGTAGACTCTAGGGCCAATGTCCATATGACTGGTATGCCTTAACATTTTACCTCATATAAGTTAACCCTAGGGAAGGGCAAGATTATTGTTGCTGATGAATCTCAGACCCCAATCTTGGGTCAAGGTGAAGTCAGAATCACTAATAACCTTTCTCTTGACTATGCTCTACATGTGCCCTAGCTACAAAAAAAATTATTGTCTGTTAGTTCTCTAACAAAATCTGATAATTGCTTAGTGACATTTTTTTCCAACCATTGTGTTTTTTAGGACCTGAGCACGGGGAAGACGATTGGAAGTGGGCATGAAGTGGATGGAGTCTACCTCCTGGATGGACCTTCAGAGCATGGATTGTCAAGACAGATTGAGTCTTGTTTCAATGAGAAAATGAGTCTTTTGAAATTATGGCATTGTTGCCTTGGTCATATGTTTGTTGATTCTGTCAAGTTTTTGTTTCCAAACTTGTTTGGTTCTGTGTCCAAATTGAATTTTGAATATGAAGTTTATCATTTATCCAAACAATGTAGAAACACATTTTGCAAGCAGTAAAAGAAGTAATGTTGCTTTCCAGTTGATCCATACTGATGTTTGGGGCCCATATGTTGTCCCCTGTATGGGGGAGTACAAATATTTCATTCTCTTCGTTGATGACTACAGTCGGTATACATGGCTTTATTTGATGAAAAGTAGAGATGAAGTTCCTATGGTTGTTCAAAACTTCATGAATATGGTCGAGACACAATTTGAGAAAAGAGTTAAGATAATAAGATCTGACAATGCCAAGGAATACTTCGAACATCACTTGGATAGATTTCTTGAAGATAGGGGCGCTATTCACCAAAGTTCATGTAGTCATACTCCACAACAAAATGGGGTGGCTGAAAGAAAAAACAGGCATGTGGTTGAAGTTGCTCGAAGCTTATTGTTCCAAACTCATGTTCCAACTCGTTTCTGGGGTGATGCTATTGAGACAGTTGTATATCTCATTAACAGACTCCCATCAAGGGTCCTTAACCTTCATTCTCCTCACCAACTACTCTTCCCTGATGAACCTCCTTTTAATCTACCCCTTAAGGTCTTTGGATGTGTTTGTTTTGTTAATGATATAAGTCCTTCCCGGCACAAGTTTGATCCTAAATCAATTAAGTGTGTATTTCTTGGTTACTCTCCAATCCAGAAAGGCTATAGATGCTTTGATGCTTTCTCTAGCAAGAGATATGTCTCTAAGGATATTACCTTTTTGGAATCCTCTTCCTTTTTCCAGTCATCCCGTCCTTCTCTTCAGGGGGAGAATGCAAGTGAAGATCGGACTTCCTTCCGCCTTCCTGTTCCTACCTCTATTCCTTTTCCTCCTCCTCCTCCTCCTCCTCCTCCTCCTCCTCCTGTGTATCGACCTCGGTCCTGGCAGCAATTTTTAATCAGGCGCAGTAAGAGGGTGGTTCCTAAAGCAGAATGCCCATCACAATTTGATTCCCCAGACTCGGGTAATCTTGAACCTCCTAACAATCATATTATTGATTCTGACCTTGATCTTCTTATTGCCATTCGGAAAGGGAATAGGACATGTAGCAAGTATCCTATCACTAACTATGTGTCTTATGATGCTCTTTCACCTTCCTATTGTGCCTATATTTCTGCTATCTCTTCTGTTTCCATCCCTCGCAGTGTTACAGAGGCAATGCAGTACCCCCACTGGAAGGAAGCTATGAACCAAGAAATGGAGGCCCTAATAAAGAACCAGACTTGGGAGGTTGTTCCTTGCCCCAAAGATAAGATTCCTGTTGGGTGTAAGTGGGTTTATACTGTTAAGCACAAGGCATATGGCTCAATTGAAAGATACAAAGCTCGACTTGTAGCCAAAGGATGCACTCAGACTTATGGCATTGGTTATCTGGAAACCTTTGCTATAGTTGCTAAAATGAACTCTATTTGTGTGATCATGTCTCTTGCTACCCATTACTTGTGGCCTTTATATCAAATGGATGTAAAGAACACCTTCTTTAATGGGGACTTACAAGAGGATGTGTATATGGACTTACCACCTGGGGTAAGTTTTCCTAACAGTGATGGAAACGTGTGCCGCTTGAAGAAGTCTTTGTATAGGCTAAAACAATCTCCAAGAGCATGGCTTGACAGGTTTAGGAATGCCATCTTAAAGATTGGTTTTTCTCAATCTCAGGCTGACCACACCTTATTTATTAGAAGAGTTGATGGTAGAGTAATAATGTTGATAGTATATGTTGATGACATTGTTGTGACAGGTGATGATATCATAGGTATCTTTCAGTTAAAGTCATTCCTTGCTTCTGAATTTRAGATTAAGGACCTTGGTGATCTCCGATACTTTCTTAGCATTGAAGTTGCAAGATCCAAGAAGGGGATTTTTCCGTTACAAAGGAAATATGTACTTGATTTGCTTCATGAGGTTGGGAAATTAGGGTGTAAGCCTATAGAAACTCCAATTGATCCCAACCACAAGCTGAACTCTACTGAAGGAGAAGTTCTTCCAGACGGGGGGGGGGGGGTATATCAGAGATTGGTGGGGCGCCTTCTGTATCTTTGTTTGACTAGACCTGACATTTCATATTTTGTTGGAGTGGTTAGCCAATATATGCATGAACCCAGGACATCTCATATGCAAGTAGTTAACAGAATTTTAGCCTACCTGAAAGGATGCCCTGGCAAAGGGATGTTGTATTCCAACCATGGCCATCTAAAGATTGAGGCGTATACAGATGATTGGGCAGGGTCCATTGATGATAGAAGATCTACATCCGGTTATTGTGCCTCAGTTGGAGGCAATGTGGTTTCCTAGAGAAGTAAGAAACAATCTGTGGTTGCTCGTTCTAGTGCTGAGGCAGAGTACAGGGCAATGGCTCATGCAGTGTCTGAACTCTGAACTACTCTGGTTAAAGACCTTATTGACTGAGATGGGCATCCAAGCAAATGTTCCAATGAGACTATATTGTGACAATCAAGAAAGAATTTCTAGCAGAGAAATTTGCCTTCCTATTGTAAGGTCAGAAGACCAACTAGTTGGTTGCCTCACTAAAGGTGTTCACCATCCAAAGTTTTCTAAGAACCTTGCCAAGCTGGGCATGATTGACATATATGCTCAGCTTGAGGGGGAGTGTTGAGAATGGTTAGATAGGGGTAGGGGTGGATTCGAGCCGAGCCGAGCTGAATAGTATGAGGCTCGAGCTCGGCTCGCCAAGGTTGTATAAGGCTCGAGCTCGGTTTGAGCTAGAATATTGAGCTCGATTCAAAAACTCATAAGCTCGAGCTGGGCTTGACTCGAGCTCGATTTGAGGAAAAATATTTTATAAAAATAAAATATTATATAAAAAATATTTTTTATTTTATATTTAAAAAATTAAGAATTATAATAATTAAGAATTATAATTTTATTATATATATTCGAGCTCGGCTTGCGAGCCTCACGAGCTGAGCTCTATTAGGCTCGAGCTCGGCTCGTTTATTAATTGAGCCTGTAAATTGGGCTCGGGCAGCTCGTCAAAAGCTCGGCTCATTGCCACCCCTAGACAGGGGTGTTTTTGGTCTTTTTCTCCTTTCTTATACTCTCTTAGTATTTGGGCACCCAGATAGGGGCCTTCTTGTAATTATTATTTTCTCAAATTATAAAGTAATCTTTTGAGGGTGTGAACAGTGAATAACACACACCTCTCGACACTTGCCCTTTTCTTCCTCTTCTTCTTCTTCTTCTTCTTCTCTTCTCTTCTTCCTCTCTCTTGAAACCCTAGTTTCTGCAACTGTCTCTTTATTTTCAGTTCTATGAACTTATCTGGATGAGCAATTCAGATTAATTGCTAGACTATTTGCCCTTTCTCAACATGAATCTAAGAGGCCATGGTCCTCCTGCCATCTGTAGTTGTCCAGGGTGGTGGTTGATATGGAGACCCTTTGTTGACTTCTTTTCTCTTGATAGCATGTCTACAATGGATCACTTTCATACCCCAAACAAGTTTTTGTGTACTCAGAGTTTGAACAATCTGTAGATGATTCGTTCCTGCAGTGATATGGAAAATCTGAAATTCAGTGTTTCTTTTGTTCTTGGAAACCAAACCCCTGTTTCATAAGTTCTTGGAAACTCAACCACTCTTCCCAATATGCTACAAAAGATAGCAATGAGGACCAACTACAATAACAATCATCCCTCATAAAAGATTTCCACATCACTGGCTTCACAATAGTTCTACTACTCCATGAGTCTATGACGCATGGAACCCAAACAGTTAACAGGCATCAAACAATACTCACGATGGTTAACCTTCAGGACCATGCATTTGCAAGAAATAATCCAACTTAAGGGGTATTGAAGCCCATAGCCCCAATACCAACTTCAACTTGAATGAAATTTATCTTTCAGGCTTTTTGTTCTTTGAGAGCCTTTGTTATTGTTGTGGAAACATAAAGGAGGTTTCTCCAGGTTTCCATCTACAGAACCTAGGCTACTATAGTTGTGGAGTTCTAGACACTTGTTCTCCTACAATTCTTCAAGCTGCTTAGCTGGAAATGCATTTTCTAACCTGTAATAGGCCTTATAGAACAAAAGAATGTAATTCATATTTAAGGTTAACAAAGGCAATGAGGGGGAAGCTCAAATCTTCCAACTTTGCATTTCTAGGGTCTCTAATGAGGAAACATAAAGAAAGAAAGATAGAATAAAGTAATAAATTAAAAGAATATTCAGCATTACTAAAAAAATTCTGGACTTTACTATAGAAATTATAATATGTCAGTTATTTGCAACATCTTGTATAAAAATAACTTATTTAACCATCAAATTAATAGACAGTCAAAGAGATATCCAAGATTACATATTTAGTTTAACATTTGCACAAGTCTATAATTAGAGATGAGTCCACATTCTTTGGTAGGTTCAGCTCATTTTCAATGTAAATGAAAATTCAAGCTACACAAAATAGAGAATCTGACAAGCAACTTTTTTTTTTTTGTTAACTACCCAAAACTCTGAAGTCTGAACTAACCCAGTTACATTTTTGCATTTTCGTCAGTATGCAGATTTGGACAACCAATCTCATACTTGTTTCTATTTCATATGAGATGGAAACCTGGAACCGCAAAAATGTAACCAATATCAAAAGGAAAAAAGAAAATATTTCCCAGCCTACATACTACAAAGAAACCCAAGCACCAATTTTTTAATAAAAAACAATTAACATGAGGCTGGGAGCTTAGTAAAATCTACCCCACAATTTTGAATTTTATATTTTTTCTCCTTAACTATTTCTGCTCTCAAATAAAAAAAAAAAAAATCATGGTTTAGAACAGGTGAGATCCCTCTCTGAAAAAAATTCAACAAACCCAGAAAAAATTATAATAATAAATTGAAAAGTGGTTATAGAAATTACCATAGCTAATAGAGCTGCTGCTGTCAATCCAGCACCAGTACCTCTCACTTCCTGTTAAGATTTAAGAATGGAGACAGAACATATCACTGCATAATGCGTACATGACTAATGAATCCATGACAAGAATAAATTTCAGCTGAAAGCAAACCTTTGTCAGAAGGTAAGTCGCCCAAGCGGCATTAGCTGAGAAAATAGGAGCAGTAAATACACATACTGTTTCCACGGATAGAGGAATGTTCAATGAGTTCAGTAACCTGCCATCAGAAAGTAATTGTCCAAAACACTAGCCATCTGGAATACTGATTCACAAATACTAAGTACACAGAAGAGTAGGATAAATCTGGTAGCAACGATCAAAGAAAAACTATTTAATAAACTCTCAAGAAATAATAAGGCAATAAATCTCAAATACCTACCACCATATGGAACCAGCTGTCAATGTCAGTCCAGGATACACGGTTCCACCAATCACACGACCAAGAGGATACCTTACGATAAATAAGATGAGTATTACATTTAGAATCACTTCAAACCTTTTAAACAATTTATTTTGCCTTTTCTTTTGGAAGGGTGAGGGGATTTTTTTTTTTTTAATTCTACCCACTAGGTACTCTTGGTATCAACTTCTCTAGCTACTTCTAAAATGGCATTTAGACACCCAAAGATTTTTCCTATCAAATGTTATTATTACTGAGGAGAGATCCATTAAAGATGAAGCATTTTTTTATTTCCTTTGTATTTTTACTTTTATACACAACAGATATATTAGGTACATCTTTATTGGAATCCAGAATCAATGGAAGACTTTATAAAGTGCTGGACACTTCAGGGTCTCAGCAAAGAAGGAAAGATTGTGTGGATGATTGCTATGCTTGCAGTTTTTTTGAACCATCTGGATTGAGAGGAATTCAAGGATTTTTGAAAACAAATATGAGGCAGAAGATGGATTGTTAGCTAAATTTAAGGCCAGAATCATTTCTTGGGTGGGTATGCATAGGGTGTTTTATAGGAAATCATATGATGCTTTTTTTGTCAAAATAAATCTTTTTGTAAATCCTGAGATGTAAGGTTGTATTTTCCCTTTGTACAGTTCGTGCACATGGAGTGGTTTTAAGTTTTGATTAATGAACATTCATAATTAACCTCTTCCAAAAAAAATGCATTTTTATTTTTTTATTTTCATTTTTCATATTTAGTTAATAAATTATTTATCCATTTAGATTTCTAGCCACATGGCTAGGGGTGATCATGGTCTAGGCTTCTGGGTCTATGACTTTAAATACATTATATTAAATGTATATGATATGTTATTTTATCTGGCATAAATCTTTATGTAAATATAAAATAACACACATATAGTATAATACAAATAGGGTTTGTACTAGAGGTGACCACTATCACAAATAGGGTGTGTACCCTGTCCGGCTGTCCCCTATTTGTACATCATCAAAAAGCCCCCAGAATGGTTGATTCCCATTGACACCCTCTTTGGCCAAGGTATCAGTACAGCCATTTTCTGATCTGTGAACCCATGAATATTTTAAGTCTCTTGTCTTTGCTGTTATTTCTCATCCAGCACGCCACTACTTTTGAGTCCCCTTCTATAATCAAAGTTGTGATATTTAGTGATTTATTCCCATGCTGTTATTTCTCATCCAGCACACCACTACTTTTGAGTCCCCTTCTATAATCAAAGTTGTGATATTTAGTGATTTTCCCAGTCTTTAACCTTTGTAGGAATACTAGATTTAGTAGGCCTCAATGGGCATAACTTCAGAAATAAGGAAAATTAGTGCTGAGAGTTTACTGAACTATCCTAGTTGGTTAGAGAATTAACTTTCTCTATTTTTATTTTGGTTTAGGAAAGTAGCAACAATCTAAAAAGAATAAGTTAACAAACAATGATAATAGCCATTACCAGGTTCGATCATCAAACCAGTTCCAGAAATCATATATTCCATTCTTTGTGAGATACTGAAATCAATGAGCATGGCCATCAGTTACTAACTGATCTAGAAACAAATAAGATAATAGAATCAATCAAAACATGCACTATACTTCCTAAACAAATATAAACAACCATTCTAGCCACTTCCTAAGTAAACATGCAAAAAAAAAAAAAGGAAAGAAAAGAAAAGATAGAAAACAAAGAACAGACAGCTCCTTTTGGGGGAGGGGTTGTCTTTTCATAGTTTACAGCTTTGGGGATATGATCTAATCATAATATACAACCAGCAGCTGCCAACTTCAAAAATTGCACTGTGTTAGCAGACCCTGGCAGTCATGCTTACATGGTTGACCAGTTTGCTCTGGGAACACTTGTGGGTGGGAGACTTACCCTTGAAAGATTGCTTTCCCTCTCTCGGCCTTGTCTGATTACAAAAATGAACCGGTTTCCACCTTCCTTTCAGAAAGGGAACCAGGGATTCAGATCTAAACAGCCTCTTGTCTCTTCTTCATATCTTACAAAGAGTTTGCTTGGACCCTTCAAAGTCGGACTCACGCATTTGGATTCCCTCTTCTTCCAGTATTTTTTCCTTTGCTTCCTTCTTCAAAGCTTTAATGGTGCCTCTTCTTCCAGTATTTTTTCCTGTGCTTCCTTCTTCAAAGCTTTAATGGTGCCTACCGGTAGTGTTGGGAAAACCTTTCCAGTTAAAGAAGTATGGGTAAACTGATTCCACCTAGGACTGGGGCTTTTTGTTGGGAAGCCTTCTTGGGAAGGATTAACACTGGTTATCTCCTTCAAAGAAAGAAGCCTTTTTGGTGCTTATCTCCTAACTGATGTGTTCTTTGTAAAGCTGATGGTGAGTCCTGCTTTCACTTATTAATTTCTTGCCCATTTGTTTCTTTTATTTGGGAATGGTTTTTCTCTTTGTTTGGTTGTAGTTGGATTCCTCCACCAGATGTTCAAAGCCTCTTTGGTCCTACTGCTGGTAGTTGTAACAAAGAAGAGGGGGAAGGCTTTGTGGAGATGTACAAGGGTTGCTGTATGCTGGACAATTTGGGAGGAAAGAAATCAAAGAACATTTGTTGATAAGGAAAGGTCCAGAGAGGCAATAATTGAAGTAATTACGATAAGGGTAATACAATGGGTGAAGTCTCTGAAGTTATTTGAAGATATATCCACATCAGCTCTGTTGAACAATTGGAAAGAAGTGGCCTGTTCAGCTCCTGACAAGATTGTCCCTCAACCAATGTGGGATCTTCCAGCTCTCGGCTTTATATAGCTGAACTTCGATGGTAGCAGTGAAGGAAACCCTGGCCCTTCAGGCATTGGAGGGGTCTTTAGGAATGAAGTGTGTGCGATTATTGCTATGTTTTCAGGCCCAGTCGAGGAAGGAGACTCTCTTCGATCTGAAGTTTTGGCAGTCTTGGAAGGTGCTAAAAAGGCTAAGGAGCTTAACTTAAGGAGGTTAATTATTGAGGGAGACTCGAAGTTAGTAATAGAATGGCTACAAAAGGAGAGAAGCATGTGGAGCTACCTGAATGAAAAAAGAGTATTTAAGTGGTTGACTCGGGATAAGGCAGTGAGATTACAATGGGGAAAGAGGTGTGTCAATTCCTTTACAGATGCACTAGCCAAACAAGGGGTGGGAAGAAATCAGCTGTTCTGGGCCTATTTGTAATCTTTTATTTTTTGGGGGGAGTTAAGAGAGTTTATCTCCCCCTGCCCTTGTACTTATCTTTCATTTTTCATTAATGAAATAATTCTGTTATTGATAAAAAAAAAGAATAGACACAATTCCATTTTAGGATAAACAGGGACTAACAACATGCACATCTTAGCTCAGGCTTACTGAACCAACTGATGGTGGCTCAGTTGGTGGGATCTCTAGCTGGTTGTAGTGGAAACTCAGGATCAAATCCCTCTGCCACCACAGTTGCAGAGAGGGGTTATGGGTTTGGGAGATGGGCTACCCCCATTGTGTAGCCTATGAATTCGAAAAAAAAAAATCCAGGCTTACTGTAGAATCTACATCTCTCAAAAGAAGTATTCCACTGACCTTAACAGCATGACTACATAATAAGATGATATCAGGCATCCTAATTAGAAAATTCAAATTTATAATTTTTTTCTTTAATAGAAATTGGTAAGATAGTAAGAGAAGATTGCATAGATTTTGCAATTCAAGAAGAAGAGTATACAAAGGTTTTCTTTTTTTTTTTTCATTGCTAGGAGAAATTGGAGATGAGGGGGCCATGAAGGTAGGATTCCATCCCAGGTGAGTTGGAACCACATCAACATTACAAAGGTTTCTTTGTCCCTACGATTCATGGTATTATTAATATACTTTCTCAGTTCAACCACTTTATTTCCCCTTCTATAGCAATAAATCCATTGTTTAGAATCCTAGATGAACCCCAACCTTGTTTCTGAACTCTGTATGGTACCTTCTCATGACAGCACCGCAACATTCAACCAAACCTGTGTACAGCCCTTGTTTTGACGCTTATGGACTGCACCAAGAGTTATTTGTTGTTCATGTAGCGGAACCTCAAAACCTATACTTAACTTAAGTAACCTAACCGGATTTCCCATTTTCCATGCCACTCAAACGCTAATGCTTCTTTAGAGCTGCTTTGTTTATAGCAGTCTGCTGTCACAATTTAAGCCTTAGAAACAATTATGTTTCCCACCAATATTCATTCTACACCTCACCATTCTAGAGACCCTTTGTTACTCTCAAGCATTTCTCTATTGTCTGGCATTGAGGGGTAATCAAAATGATTGCAAAGTAGTTGTTTTATGAAGAACCATTTCCCATCAATGAAACATTTCTAAATTTTTAATGCATTTACTAGAACTGCACTCCCTAAATTCTATCATAGTCCAACTAATGTTTTAGATTCTAAAACATCCGGTCATGTAAACTTAGCCCACTCGTAAATTTCTTGTCAGGGCAGTTTAAGAGGACCCTCGACACTCATTATCCACGACCGGAATCAACATCTACACCAATTATTGAATCTGACATGTCACAATGAGCTAACATCATAATTCAGCAAAACCGAAGTGCCAAATTATGCACCACATTGTCGAGTCACGACAATATCATATCCTTAGAAACCAAATTTTGCACCAATACAGAAATTAAGAAAGAATCGAACCTGTGTAACCCTGTAATTGAAATAAGGATCAAATTCGTGGATTACACTTTCATACTTTATAACCTGTACAAGCCATTCGACTGAGCTGTAAGACTTCAATGCAAGATAACTCATTCAAAACAAAACTAATTCGAAAAATATGAGATCCAAAAACCCAAAGTTGACAAGAAATTGACAACCGGATCCATGAATACACTGAAATATAAATGATCATAAGCTCGACTTACAGAGAAAAGGCGGATCGAGAATGCGAGCACTCCGATCAGAGGGAGAATGAAGAAGGTGAGCACGTTCCCAAAGGCGTGCCTGAGGGTCGCTCCTCCGCTATTCTCTGAGGTCGCCATTATTGCTGAAAATCGAGTTCTGACTTCTGAGTTGCAGGACCCTGAGCCAGGGTTTTTTCTTGGTGAGAAGACGAGGAGAAGACCTTGAAGAAGTTTGAAGTAAACTTCATGGATAAAATGACGAAAATGCCCTCGAAAATGCCCCCGTTGTGTGGTGTAGCCCCATGAAAAGAAACGAAATTGTCAAAAATGACCTTTTCCATCTATTAAATTTTCAAAATATACATTCTTCTGCCTGGCTGTCACTGGTTTGATTTGATTGAAGGTGAATTCATGCTTTCGGTGGTTTGCTTCCGCCATGAAGCATCGATTAAAACAAGGGTGAGAATGTGAGGTCTCAGCATTTCCCACTATTTCACGCAACTGTTACAGATCAAAATACTCTGTTTTTTTTCATTTTCCTGCTATATTTTGGACATTGATTTGAACTCAGGTTTCAAGAGCGACAGATCGTTGTTTACTTGCAGTGAACATCAAAGCGTTTATTGAATAAAAAGGGGAGTGCCAAAGAGTGATAGAAATAACTTTTGATTGTGGCTTGGGACGGCTTTCTACTGACTGAAGAGTCACAGCAATGGCAGTATGCCTTTTTTTTTTCTTTCAATAATGTTTGCTGGTTTCTTCAATTTTCTATTCAATTCATCTTAGCCAGTTGCCTCAGATTGGTGAAAAGAAAAATAAGGTGTTCTTAACTCATCGAAATAACATAAGATATCCTCTGTTTTCTGGTGTGGTATTTTTTTTCGGTTTCATCTGTTTTTAAGTCATCAAGCTCTCACTTTCTATTTCTATTTTTGAGAAAATTAAACTCGGTTCCCCAAGTTGAATAAATCAAAGAATTCATCAGAGCTCCAAAAGCCATTGCCTCTAACAAGGCCTTCGCTAGCATTCAAAACCACTTCTCTGGTTTTCTGCGGAACATGTGAAACTCTCTTCAACGTCACAAACAACAGAAACAACCTATGAGCCTAACCTTTCTGTCTCGAATATAATCTTAACCCATTGCGCTGGACTGAAAACCCATTTAGAATTTGGAGAACCTGGCGAACAAGATTCAAATAGTAGATCCTATACGGTTGGGACATGGTCACTTGCCACTGGCTTGAATGATGATTGAGGAACGTGGCCACTGGCCAGATCATAATTTAGTAGATAGAGTCTGTATCAGCAGGTCTTCACCATTATGAAGAAATCAGATAACCACTAGGTATACCATGAGTGTGGTAGTCAGTCATGTGGAATGATGATGATGATTGAGGATTGCAAATGGGTCCAAACATGGCCACTGGTGACTGGCCAGATCATGATTTAGTAGAACAGTCCGTGTAGGGTTGTTAATGGATCGAATCGGATACTGGTCCAATCCAATCCGGTCCGATCAGTCCTAATCCAATACCATAAATATTTTTGATTGGACTGGTCCAATTTAATGTCTTTTTTGACCGTACGTTCAATTTGTTCAAATTGGTTTCAATTCAGATTGTGTACGATCCAGACCTGGTCCATAACACCCCTACTCTTGTCTTGTTTCAATATATTCTATATTGGCTCAACCCAACCCAGTCCGATATAAATCCGTTACAAATGGATCAGGTCCAAGCCGATCCAATAAGTATTTTTTTGACCATTATTGAGTCTGGAGTCTGGACTGGTCCAATTTAATCAACCCATTCAAATTGATTTTGATGGGAGAGGTCCAACCCAAACCCAGTCTAGGAGGGTTTGGTCATGGGGAACCTGGTTTCTTATAGTTTAGTTGGTGGGTCTTTTCTTCAACAAATTGACGTACCCAACCATAGGTACGCAATTGTCCAAGCTCAAGAATTGGTGTTTATTGCCAATTCTTTCAAATTAAGGAATTGAAATGTAGTAATTGGGTTTCCCTTTTTTTTCCTACATTTTCCCTTTTCACCTGAGGAGATCTGTTGCTTCAAATTAATGATCACCCCATGCAAAACAAACATGATTCACTATTGTTTCTACACAAAAGTTGACGTGGCAAGTTTGTAAATGCAGGAAACCAGGATAATGATGTAATAGTAATATCTAGAATCAAGAAGGGCCTATTATCACAGACAGAATCCCACTATATTCTCAATGAATTAATAACTCTAGCTACTCTTGAGTCTTGACTCGAAGTAGTAATTTAACCAAGCATATATATAACAAACCAATATCAATACATGCATACGTTCGATCAACATATATTATATATAAAAAATAAAATTAAAAAAAAAACCATGGAACTAATCAGAATATAGAATATTGTTGAATGTGATTATCTAATTAATTAAGATGAGGAGGGTATGGTGCAATAACCCAAGCCAAGGACGAGATACTGGCGGTGAGGGCCACAACTATGGGAATGGATGTAAGAGCGACAGAGAATCCTGATGATGAGCTTGCAAGTGGTGATGGTGACGGTGAGTCAGCCGCATGAGATTGGGGTGGAAGGGCGGCAGACGGTGGGGATGGCGGAGATGGGCGGAGAGCCAGCACGTTGACGACCACTCTCTGTCCATCCTTGCAGTGATCCGGCGCCCCACTGATGAAGTAGAATGGCCCAGTTCTGTCGAGCTTGATCACCGTCTTCCCATTGTTGTAGGCAACGATTGGCTTGCTAGTATTGCAGTGATAGTACCCCCATTTGTTCACTACGAGAACTGAATCCTCCTCGTACTCAAAATCTGTAAAACAAATTCAAAATACTGTATCAAATACATAGAGAGAGAGAGAGAGAGAGATGAAAGAAACTCCGCCATTAATTGCTGCCTGTGTTAACTTTAAATTTGCAAACAATTAATAAAAGCAAAACAATGACCAACTTACAGAGAGAATCTCCAACGCGGAATCTGTTGTTTGCGGCCCACTGGCTATAAACTTGAGTGTCGTTGATGGGTAGTCGCCAGCCCAGAGTTTCACCAACTTTAAATTCAGTGGCTGTGACAATAACAACAAAATTTATCAGAGTGGCTGCGGCAATGGATAAAGCGCAGAAAAGACGCAAGAGAGAAGCCATGGAAGGTGTTGCTCTCGTCGTTTCTCCTCAGAAGGTCGGAGCAGTACTGGTTCCGATCGAGAAATAAAGCTCAATGTTGATGAATGGATCGAGGGGGCTCTAACCTTCTGAGAAAGACTACTCTTCTTCAAAGAAGTGTACCAAGGATAAACCAGAAGCCGTTTTTAAAGTTTAAACGTGCTAGTCGTGGCAGTTATGGGTAGTTATTGGTTGGAATTTCAAACTAGAACGTGGACTTAATTCTTGTATCGTTTGGAATTTCAAACCCCATACGATTAGATAGAGTAACAAATTTGAAATTTCACAGAAAAGGTTTCTCTTTTAACGGCCAGATTAGTTAGAGTTGAAGCCTGAAGGGAAGGGGACCATTATTGATTATTATACGAGGGAAACTATTTCTATCGTCTGATGAGAATCTGCTTGCTTCGAAGATTCTAATCAAGTAAAAATTTTTTGTGAGTGGGTGGTGCTACTCCAAGAGAACAATGCGCTGCGGTTGTATTTTAGAAACTAGAGAGCACCAAAGTCGGTTTTTAATTTTTTTTATGAGTTTTTTTTATATTATATACTAGGACCCGTGCAATACGGTATTTGTTAAGTTAAAGTTAAACAATAGAAACATATAAGATTATACAATTATTTTATATAATAATTAATAATCATTTATATTTTATATACTATTTTTAATAATTTTTTTACGATACAAAAATAACAATAATTAATTTTAGATAGGGTTGTTTAACAAACTTACGATACAAAAATAACAATAATTATTTTATGTTTATTTTTTAAATAAAATAAAAAATTAAAACATAATCGTTGAGATGGGGATGGGATAACTTTGTCCCCCCGTTAGTGGGGATGGGGACAAAGATGTGGATGGGGATTTTTCGTGGGGACGGGGATGGGGAGAGGCTTCTCATCCCCGCCCCACCTCGTTGCCATTCCTAATCAAACTAATGAAACTGTCCAACCCGATTTCTAGTATTTCCAATTGACTTTGGTTTAACAATTTTCCAACCCAACTGGGTTTGATCAATTTCACTTTGGCCATTTATAAACTGACTAAAATTGAACTACCCAACCATAGATATATATTAATATTTTATATTTTAAATATATTTTTTTTAATACGAGAAAGTGGAAAATTCTAATATTTCTTAGGCTAAAATATTTTTATCATAAATTTAATTTTTTAATAATGTCATTATAATTTTTTTAAAATTTAAACTTAATTTTTTAAGTTTAAACCTTTTGAACCAACCAATCAAACTAAAAATTGACCAAACTGATATAACCTGAGTGACAACTCTCCAACCTGACTAAGTCAATTTGGTTGGCCCAACAACCTACAACTGAATTGAACCAACCCGCCCGTGAATAATAGTTTAATTTCCAATAACTATTAAAAATTTATAGAAAAAATACACAATAAATTAAATTAAAAAAGCTAAATCACAGTAGTTTAAAATCCAATAATTATTGAAAATTTTCTTTTAAATAACAAAACAAAATAGATTTGTACATAATTATTGAAAATATATTTATCACAAAAAAACAATAAATAATTACTAAAATACAATAAATATTAATTTTAGTATATATAAATATATAATAAATATAGATTAAGTTTTTAAAATTATTATTAATGAACAATAATTTTTTGAAAGTTATTTTCTTGAATTATTAATTGGTATAAATGAAATTAGTTATTTAAAATATTATTCATTTATTGAAATAATATCATTATTTAAATTTTAAAATATTAATTACTTATTGAATTTAATAATCCATAAAATTATAGTACTATTAATACATAATTTTGTTATTTTAAATATTTCATTATTTAAAATATTTAGTTATTTAACTAAATATTGAAAATCTTAATCTATTTATTGTAATTAAATGTTATTCAATAACTATTTAAAATATATTATTAACTGATTTAAAATATTAATTTTAATATTTTGTTATTTAAGATATTTAGTTATTGAAATATTTAAATATTATTTCATTTTTAATGTTAGATTTTTATTATTTGTACATAATTTTGTAATGAATTTTGCAAAAATATATAATTAATAATAATATGAATATTATTAAATCGATTATAATTATTTTTTGTCTTTTTAATAAATATTTTAAGTTTATTATATAATTTTGTTAGAATATTTAAATAATTTTTAATTCAAACTTTCTTTAGATAGATATAGATAAAAAGTGGGGAGAAGATAAATAAGAATTAGAGATGATTTAGGAGAGAAACTATCTACTAAATTAGAGATAACTTAGGAGAAAGTTGGGGATAGTGGGGGGTTGTTTAGGAGAAATTTTAGGATATTAGATTATTTAGGTTATTGAAATGTGTGGAAGAGAGAGATTTTAGGAAGATTTTTTTAGGGAATGTAGAATTTCTAATTGGTAGTTTCAAAAATGACATTGATTAAAAAATTCAAAACTTCAAAAAAGGAAGAAAATTTCTAGACTTCCTTGTTTTAATATATATATTTCAGTTGTAGGTGACAAACAACTTGGGAACATTACTTCCATGAGATCACAATGGGGTGGTGGTGCGTAGGTCTCATAGCTTCTGAGTTATCCTGAGGTTGAAAGTTGGAGCCTCTCTCACCCCATTTGCATTTTTGCAAGTACCAAATTGTCTGGTTGTAACCGATAAGGTCTCTTAGTGGATTTGTGGAACATTGGGATCATGGGCCGAGCCTGGCTGTGCTTTACATATGGACTGCTAATAGAAAATTGAATTATAAAGATTAATATGAGTTACATATTGTATGTGTTTGGAACCGTAGATTTGTTTGCAAAACCGAGAAAAGTAATAATGAACTCGTTTATTGACACTTAGGTACCACTAGGCGCCATTAGGCATCATATTAGCAAAACAATGAATAAATGCCTATCTGTTGGGGGAAGCGCTAAAATGAAGCTTTCCCCAACAGTAGGCGTGCACATAAATCAAGGCTATCTTTTGCAAGTCTTTATGCATACGGATCCACATAATGAGGAAAATGCTGAAGTGACACCTATGTGACAATGTTTATTCAATAAACTCCCATGGTTCCAAACACCGCCATTATTAAGAATGGATACTTTTCTTATAAATAGCCATGTGTCTAAGATCAACTTGAAGTGGATATTTTTTTTTTTTTTGTAGGTGGCCATTTGTCTAAATTAACACTTTTTTGAGAACTTTTTTTAGAGTGGAAAGACACATGTTTAAGGAAGTAAGTTTTCATTTGAAAGTGGAAAGTACCCAATTATTAGATATTGATTTTTGAAAGAATATAATGCCATGTGTCTAAAGACTAAGCTCTCTTGATATGAGGGCTTTCTTTTAAAATAGATGATTTTCCCTGCATTATGAAGTTTGTTTTCTAACATTTGTATTAAATGTTTAGTAATTGTTATTAGTTTTTATTCAAAATGTCTTCCTTTTGTTAATTTTTTAAAATTTAAATTATTTTAAGCTAAATTAATTAATTAATTAATTTTATAAGTTTGCAATCTATTTTAGAAATATTAAACAATTTTTTGTTACTTAATCATTTAAGTTAATTATTTACTCTACTTTCTAATCATATTATTAATCTCTTTGGGTGTATTTTTGTCAAGAACTTGTCTCTTGTTTGACCAAAAAACAAATAATAGGGTTGGAAGATGTTGTCGATAAAATAAGGACACTGAAAACTACTTATAAAATAGTTATAGGAAGAAATTTGTCAACACAGATTTTTGATTTCCACTACAGAGCTATAAACATTCAAAATGTCAACAACCCACATTCTAGGCACCAATGCTTGCCCGTAAATTGACATCAATTCCGAACTGGCACCTACCCCAATAATACTTTAGACCTATAAATTCTGACCCTAAACTGAACCATCATTCTCCCAAAATGTCTTTATGTTGATTTGCCAAATGGCATCTCGCTGTAGGGGGCTGGACTTAGGTCAGGCATAGCACCTAGGGGTTGCCCTTACATACACATTGGTCTAAAATATATAAGCCCGACCCCAGCCCTACATGCTCCCTTGACGGTCTAGGTTTCTAACCTTATAGTTTTAAGTCTTAATTAATTCTTAAATGTCCAGCCATATTTGCATGTGACCACCGTTTGATTGATCTGCGGTTGAAGAAGTTGGCCATTGGATACTGGGATACCCTGTTTCAGCTTCATGGTATATCAGTTTCACCCATGCATTTATCTTCAATGATGATCAAACCGTGTGGAAAATCTTGATTAATTATCCACAATTAATTAATGATCCAACTAACAGAGAACTTTTCTCATCAAGCCCATAATAATTCCATTTATCATATCATATTAATTATATGTATAATAATTTATTGAATCATTGCATGATCCAGCATCATCCCCTACCTTAAAAAGGAAGTCAAGAACAAAAAACCATGAAAAAATAAGCATATGAATGGCTTGAGAGAAAATAAGAGAGAAGTTGATGGAAAATTTTTAATGAAAAAACAAAACACAACCTAAAAGAAAATTAATGTATATTCGTTTTAAGAATAATCGATAGGTTTAGAATTAGAGGGAAAGGGAAACAAATAATAATCCTTAACCTTCAATGGACTCCTGGGGTATTTCTTCATTAGCACGATCTTGGAGATCAGAAGCAAGCTGGGACGCGATTGCCACTTTGCCAAATAATACATGATGTTGGAGTTCGAATTTGCTCCTCACATAGTGTGCCTCACACTGACTTCACAGTACATTTCAGCCTGCATTGGAAACATCCTCCTATGAATAAATATTTTCAAGTATGGAGATGTTCCAGATGCATGACTAAACATATTGTGAGGTAGGTGTGAGGTGTGCTCTTTGAGGAGCAGATCCGAACTCATGACATGGAAATTTGCATATTGCATCATCTTCATTTCAAGTTGCCCCTCTCTTCTACAAAACTGATGGCCAAAGCAATTCTGATTCCAATCAGTTTTAAAAACATTGTGGGGGATGGGCTACCCACGTACCCCCCATTGCAAATGCTAAATAATGAGATATAAAGTACAACTTCGTGCCTAATTCCAGGTTTGACCACTGTTGTCTGGGTTAGCCGTTCAAGCG